CTATTGTTTACCTTGTACTCTCCAGACTTCACAATCCTATATCCCATTTACCTTTCACCCCCCTTTTTTGTGTGCCCCATGAGATTCTCTGTGGTTTTACAATGCTATTCTCGTAGAGGAGCAATGCAGTTGTGCATAGCAGACCGAGTTCTTCACCTCTTTCTCTAGTAGCAGGAATCCAGGAGGTCACCTTTACTCTGCCATTTTTCCTCCTTTCATATACTCACTTGAACTTAGCCAAAAGCTCAAGAAAAACATGCTACTCATATACTGAAAGCCTGTGGTGGGAGGACTCCACAAAGGGCCACAAAGGGTTTGCACTCAGGAACAGAGTGAATAAGCAAGGTCTATGGGAAATAGGATTTGTACATCAAGAGGGGGGTGACCTCTAGATACCATAGGAGGGAGTGATTGGCTTGAGTTTTAGGGAAACTACAAGACAGTCAGTGTGATGTAACTTTTAAATTAAGCTGCATGAGGGGTTACATGAGGCTACCCAACTCAAGGCTGGTAGAGAATGGAAACTAAATACTCAGAAATAAGCAAAATGCATGCCCGGTCCCCTTGATAAGATGGTCATTTGGCTAGGGGACTTTATTTGCAAGTGCAGAGTATAGAGGGGAATTTCTGGTTAGGACATTTGAGGCCCTGCTGGCTTCACATAAGTCAAGGTAGGAAAAAAAAAATCAAGGCCAGCACATAATGTGAGGCCTTAATTTTAGGCTTATACTACAGTGAAGTTTTCCATTCTAGGGTTTTCTCTCTCTCTACTTTAAGATACATCATGTGAAGGTTTGGCCTTTTCTCACCAGTCCCACAGCCTCATCCAGCACCCCAAAAAAGCTTAATTTAAAAGTTATATTTGGCAGGTTCAGTGGCTCAGGCCTGTAATCCTAGCACTCTGGGAGGCTGAGGTGGGAGGATTGGTTGAGCTCAGGAGTTAGAGACCAGCCTAAGCAAGAGCGAGACCTGTCTCTACTAAAAATAGAAACAATTAGCCAGGCATGGTAGCGGTATGCCTATAGTCCCAGCTACTTGGGAGGCTGAGGCAGGAGAATTGCTTGAGCCCAGGAGTTTGAGGTTGCTGTGAGCTAGGCTGACTCCATGGTACTCTAGCCCAGGCAAGGGGGTGAAACTCTGTCTCAAAAAATATAAAGTCATCCACATCAATTGATTGCAATTTCCCCCAAACTCAAACTGCTTTGCCTCAGAAAATTTATATTTCACTGTTCTCACCTGGAATGTCACCTGCTCACCTATTTTTTTATACTTTCCGGTAAGTCAGAGAGGGTGTCTCAATATTTTCCACAGCTCCTAGCTTTGAAAATTCTATTGGCAGAAGTTGAGCCTTTATCTGAGCATCTCCAGTACTAGCACTGAACTTCCCCCAAAGCAGATACTCAATTGATGTTTGGTGAATAAGAGAAATAGTGAGCAAGAGATATAACTCATTAAGATTTATTTTTTCCTGCATTTTTAATAAAGTAAACATATTGAGGTATAAATCATTTAATTTTACAGAACAGAAGACTAAAAGGAATGAGGAAAACCAAGATTGATCATGTTTTCTTTTTTTTTTTCTATTCCATTACCCTAACTGTATAGTTCTTTCATACTTCCAAGAAAACCCCTATTGTTATGTTCTATTTTCTTATCTGGGTGATAAAAAAAAACTCAGACTTCAGTAGGGGTGGGAGAATCTGCAAGACTTGGTCATGAGACAGGCTCGGCCACTGCAGTAGTGCCAGGCCTAGGTGCAACTCTGGCTCGGGCCCCTGCTTCCTTATCTCTCAAAGCCTCTTCATAACGTGATAAGAAGGCACTAGGAACAGCATCATTGAACTTGGCCAAAAATTCCAGGACTTTCATCTTGTTAGTTTCAGCATGAGCTCTGAGGCCCCACAGGAATTCATAGCATGCAGGATTACTGTTGGGGACCTGGAAGTACTCCAGGTACTTTAGCCTCACATAATCTTGAGCTTCCTAGGCTCTCCATAGATGAAGTGCTTTCTTCCAGCAAATCCTTGCATCATATTTAGGAATTTCCAGATGTCTTGCTCAGTGGCACAGTTGTCCTTTATGAGGATCACACCCGGGAGATTCATCACAAGACTAGTCTTAGGTAACCCTCTGCCAGCACGAATTCTTCCATTGTTAGGGAGTTTCACCTTGCTGACAAGGTCATACGAGTGACAAGTTGAGTCAGCATCCTTCACGTCAACTGAAAATATGACTTCAATACACTCAGAAGTTCTCAGCAAAGAGGTCTTCGTACTTTTTATCGACAGCCTTCAGCATGTCTTCCTTTATAACGGGTTGTTTCATTTCATACTCATAGAGTAGGAACTGCTCCAACAAATTCACCTTCATAGTTAGATGCTCGCTGCATAAGCTCTTGGTAGAGGGTGAGTCCTCTGAGGGATATGACTATTCCTCATCTTGGCTGTTATCACCTTTATAAGATCTTGTGTCAAAAATGCCCAAAGACGTAATGGTGGTGATTGGTACTCTCCAAGGTTCCTGGGAAGTGCTAGTTGACTCAGAAGCACATGAGCTCTTGGGAATATCCCCAACAAAAGGGGAGGATGTAGAGGGGGGCTCTTCTGCCACTGTTGCACTAACCTGAGCTTCCCTGTGACCCCGAGAGTCATCTTGTGCCTAGGGGCTATCTTCATGGGTGCAGTGCTTGTTCTTCTGACCCAAAGCATGATGACTCTGGTCAAGGACAGCAGGCTGGAGTATGGGTAGGGGAACAGGTGATAAGAGCCCACTGGATGAGGGAGGTGAAGAGGGTGCATGCACCTTCAACCTGGATATTCCATCATGGTTATGAGGAAGGCTACATTTGGAGTTTTCTGTGAGGCAACTGCTCTAGGAACCCACTGGGCTCCTGTTCTCTTTCTTTCAATATCAAGTCACCCATGTTGACCAAGGGTTTCAAGTCCCTGAGATCCTGGAACAGTAAGTGAGGGGATAGCCTGACAGCCTTGCTTCAGTCTTCCAGGTCTGAAAGCAGATACAAGCTAATCTTTGTGACTCCATTTATTATGGGGTGTTTTTCTCTTCACTTCTCATTCATTAGAGTCTTCAGCTTGGTTCCTGTGGGAGGCTTCTGTGGAAATGCTACATCAGTCCAAAGTCTTGACTAGTTTCCCCTCTGTGAATTTTGCAGGGAATAGACTGTGTCCTAGGAGTGATGTGAGATGGAGAAGCTGACGCACAAAGCAGAAAGCCCAGAACAGGTGTGCTTCCAGAGAAAAAAACATGTTGATATATACTGTCTCATCACTAGCCAGACTTGGCCTTTTATGTAACTTCTGTTCAAATATACCTACTTTCTACAGGGAGGAGGTGGCACCAAATGATTTTGTGAGTCCCTAATCTTTTGAAGTTTCTGGCAGTGACTTTGTAGTTAATGATATTGTCAACAAATATCTCTTTCTTTATTCATATCTCACATTTATTTTGGTAATTTTATTGTCTATTTCTTGGGCTATATATTCCAAAACAGTATTTTGAGTAGGGAATCTTGCTTTTTTTCACCTGAAATACATTTTGAAGTAGGGAGCAGAAAATAAATAAGTGATCCAAGGCCTATCTCAGAGTAGGTGGAGTGGAACAGTGTGGACTCTACAGAAATTTAGTGCCAGGGTCTAGTCCAGTTCTGTCACTCACCAGCCTTGTGAATTTGAGAATGCTGCATGCCCTTTATCTGCAAAATCAAGCTGAGAAACCGTATCCTGTAGGACTTAGGCATATATGCAATGTTTGTCGAACACCTGGCATAGTGTTTGACAAAGATTTGGTCTTTAACAAAAGTTAGTTATGAGTAAAAAGTATTTAGATCAAAGATAACGATATTACCTCACAGAATTTTATTTCCAGAATATGTTAAAGAATAAAAGACATATAAATCCACATGAGCTGAAATGCTGCCAAGCCAGTCAAATTGAGTAGTGTTTCCTTATTAGCATACCTGCTATTTTATTTGAGTGTGGGGTTTTCTTCTTCCGATAGAGGAAAATCAAAGTTCCTGTTTTGTTTCAGGACAAACAACCTCCCTCCCCTGTGCCTCTCCCTCTAGATCACCCCTATTTTCATTAATTTCATCATTAGTGAAAATCTAGTCCTCTCTTAGAGTTTGACAAATTACATTCAAAGTAACACACTCGCACTTGTATGAAGCAGACTCAGCCTCTCCCAGCCCATGGCAAGAAAGATAGACAGTGGCTCCTTGGCATCTCATCTCAAGGGAGTATCACCCATATTTCTCAGAAAAAGCAGGATATCATGTGCCGAAAACATCTAGTTTGTGCACTGGGGCAAATGCACAGGAATCCTTGCATTCCTACCCCAGTTGGGGATTACTTTCTGGTATACCCACAGTTCCAGAGTAACTGTTAAGACTTGTTTCCCACATAAGGCTTAGTCTTTCAACGCTCAGAGGCACCATCCAATGGTCAGGGCCCTGCTGACCATTCTCACAGTGTCATTCCGCCCACCATGCAGCCTATGTAACTTAACTCCCACTGAATGACATGCAGTTTCCTGAGACTTCAAAATGTCTTCATCAGGAAATTTACACCTGACTGCTTTAATCTGAAATCTCTTCTTCTTCATCCCTTCTTTTTACATGCGCCTTATATTTTGGATGGTATCTCATCATCTTCTTTGCCTGACAGCTGCTAGTAGACACTGAAATTCTATGGGCAGCAGTTAGACTGCTTTTTCTTACCATACCCAGTATTATGAGGGAGAATTCCAAAGAGCAGATACTCACTTAATGCTTGGAAAACAATAATAAAAATAATAAAAAAGAATGAGCAATAAGTCTAAATTATTATAATTTATTTTCTCATAGGGTTTGAATAAATGAGTGAATCCAAGTTTACATAACTTATTTTTACACACAAAGAGGAAATACAACAGGGATAAATGAAGTAAACCAATTTACTTTTGTATCACTATTTGGTGATCCAAATAATTTCTCAGGTGAGTTCATTCCCATCTCCATGAAAATACACATTGCAGTGTCATATTTATCTTAACTCTATAATGAAAACAAAATACTGAAGGTATTTTAATTTATTTAAAAACAACAAAACTCTTAGTCTTAAACCTGACAAACAGCAATAAATGTGTCATCTATAACATTAAGAAAATTACATTGTGAAACAAAATAAATATTCAATTAAAGGGAACAACATTTGAAAACTGTTAACAAATAAAAGAAACATAAAACCACAAGTTACTGATTTGTAACAGGAAAAAGAAGTTATACATCTTGTTTCCTCCAGCCCCAGGTACTCTGGAATACTTAGAGGTTCCCTGCTCTGAGTGGAATATCTGAGATCTAACTAGATGTGGGAGGATCTGAAGGACATGGCCCCCAAACGTGCCCTGGCTTGGGCAATGGTGCCAACCCTAGGTGCACCTCTCACTGCCGCTCTCTCCCGCTCATCTCTCAGAGCCTCATCATACAGACTTGGGAAGGAACTAGGGACAGTGTTATTGCTCTTGGCCAAAAACTCTAGGACTTTCATCTTGCTCGTTTCAGCACGGGCTCTGGGACCCCACAAGAATTCATAACATGCAGGATCACTATTGGGCACCTGGCGGTATTCCAGGTAATTTTCCTGCACCAAATCTTTGGTGATGAACTTCCGGGGCTCCCCAAAGATTAAGTGCCTCCTCCCAGAATATACCCCCAACGCATTCAGGAATTCCCAAACCTCCTCCTCAGTGGCACGGTTGCCTTTCATGAAGATGACACCCAGAAGGGACATCAGGAGACCTGACTTAGGCAACCCACCATCACCACTCAGACACCCCTCTCTGGAGAGGGCCAGCTTGCTGACAAGGGTGTACCACTCATCACCAGGTTTGACTCCCTTCAAGTCCAGACCATAAACCAGCTCCAGCCGGTCACAACATTTCTTGAGGATCTCAGGGAAGTGCTCCTTGTATTTTCTGTTGACAACCTTCACCATGTCTGCCTTCAGAATGGGCTCCTTCTTTTTATACTTCTCCAGCAGGAATTGCACCAGCATACTCGCCTTTCTGGTGAGGGGATCTCTCTGTGAGCTCTGAGTGGAGGATGCTGCCTGGGAGGTGCTTGGTGTTTCCTCATCTTGACTCTTGGCATCTTCATCAGGCATTGCGCATGCTACACCTGCATCAGGAGAGCTAGAGCGTGAAGCTCCCTGAGACTCCTGGGGAATGAAGGCAGCAGGGAAGCTTGGGGGGCCACCCCTAGAAATAGGAGAAGAGCAAGAAGTGGGGGGAGAGGAAGAGGGGCCCTCCTCTTCCTTTTCTGCAGTGGCCTGAGGACCCCTGGGATCCTGGGATTGACCACGCTTCTGCTGGCGTTTCTCCCGAGCACGGAGCTTACTCTTTTGACCCCGAGGCATGATGGCTGTGATCAGGGACAGCAGGACAGAGTGTGGACAGGGAGGCTGGCAATGCAGCACCTAGGTGGAGAAAAATGACATCCTGTGAGCCCCTTCAGCAGGGAAAGACCACCTTGGCTTTAACCAGGGTCATCTCTGCAGGTTTCTGTCAGAGCCTTAGCACTGGGATCCCACAGGGCTCCTGTTCTCCCAGTCAGTCTTTTCCTTGGAACTCTGTGGAGGAAGTTAATTTAGTTTTTAGGCCACTACATGACGGCCTAGTTAGGGGCTTAATTGTGCGACAGGAGTGGCTGGAAGGTCCCCCCCTCCATCTTCAGGTGTGGAAGACCTCTTAGTTTACATCCAGGATCATCATATTAATTGTTGTCATGACCCAGACCCCCAATTCCCTCTGTTGCTCTCAAGTTGACACCACAACCTTCCATCGTACTCAAGAGGAGGAAATGAAGGAGCATTTCAGCCCCCCACTTCAGTCACGGGGCACCTGGGTGTCCCAGGACTGACAATAGGGGAGATGGTTGAACGTTCCTGTTATGGGCAGGCTGGTCCCCCACAAGGATCACAGTTATCAGCCAGACTCTTCTCCTGACCTAGAAAAAATCCTCTGCTGACCAGCTGCCAGCGCCTTGGGACAGGCCCCCACCCCTGACTCTCTGAGACCTGCCGGACCTTCAGACTATGTAGGGGCAGAGCTCTGTGCCGCCCTAGTTCTGGGCCTTGGAGTCCCCTCAGTCTTTAGGAGGGTCCTCTCCTTGACCTGTAGTGCCAGGGACTCTCCCTCTGCTGACCTGAGCCCACCGGATTGAGACCAAAGCCTTGGTTCGCTCATTGAGACCGCGCGTCAAAAGGAATGGACGTTGGGCCTACTGGGGATTCCCGGGCCACGGGCAGGGGCGGGTGGGGCAGCGCCATGTGTGGCCTACTCTCTCAGGCGGGGCCGTTACAGTTTCAGGTGAATGTCTGGCGTTTCTCTCTCAGGAAACCCACCAGGGCAGCTGAGAAGACCTCGCACGCCTCCCTCTGCTGACCTGAGGCCTCGACTCTCGGACGAAGGCCTCAGTCCTCACTGTCCACAGCGTGGAGGAGGAGGAAGTCAGGGCCCATCACTTCCGGCCACGCCCCCTCCAGGGCCCATAACAGCAGGGGCAGGGCTGTGTGTGTCCAGCTGTGTTCTGGGGTACGGGAGCTTCCCGGGGTCTCACAGCAAGTCCTTTCCTTGATTCTTGAGTCCCCAGGCCTCAGACCAAGGACCTTGAGTACCTGAAAGTCTAGAGCAGAAAGGTAGGGGGAGCCTGAGCCCAGCAGACATGCCTGGGACCTTTCCAGCTGGCAGTAGGGGTGAAGGTCCCACTTCTCTAGAATGGATGTTGCATCACTACTCACTCACTGTCTTATCTTCACTCTTTAGAATTGCTGGGTCAGCTTTTGTCTATGTATTTGGAACCAGCCTCTGATATTAAAGACCTCAGCTGCCTAGGACTCCTGATATAAAGTGCAGGTACCCTCATCTGGCCACTACTGCCTGGCTCAGCCCCCCATGCCTGCAGAAGGTACGTTGTGGGCAGTATAGGTTGTTAGGTAAGGATCAAATCTGTAGGTGTTGTGGTAGGTCAGCAGGGTGGTTCCTAGGGGCAGAGAAGGGGGTGCGGCAGGGGGAACCAATCAAAGGCAGGGACTGTAGGAAACCGCAGAACACCTGATAATCATTTGGTGCCATGCTACTCCTCCTGCAAGCCCTCCCCTGGACCAGGCCAATGGAATGAAACCGCCTGGGGTTCCGCAACGTCATTCTCCACTCATGGAGACTGACCCGTTCCTCTCCCTGAAACGTATCTTCATTTTGGGTAGCTTCCTTCTTTACTTTCACTTTGTATAGTTTCTTTCTCTTCTGCAATAAACCATTCGTGTGGGATTGCTGTGCATTTGTGATCACTTGGTCATCGGCTCAATTCGGTACCAGTACTCACTCTTGACACTGGGAACTGAGCAACAGGGAACATCGATATAGACCTAACAAGGTGGAGCTCTGTGGCTCCTCCTCTTCCGGAATGGATGGTGCCATCAGTCCTCCCTCAGTGTCTTATCTTGACTCTTTACAGGTTCTGGGCCACCTCCCCGTCTACTCACTTGAGGCCGACTCCTCAGACCAGAGTCCTTAACTCCCCAAGACTCTGGATGTGAAATACATGTACTCTTCATCTGGTCACTACTGCCCGGCACCCCAGACATGGCTGCTTCAGGTATGTTATGTTACCAGATGGGGGAAGGAGGAGAAACTCAGGGCAGTGGGTTCTGTCTCTTCTGAGGTATGGAGCTCCTCAGTCCTCACTCAGGGTCTTCAAGTTGACTGCTGGAAGGGTCAGGGTTTTCTCCCTTTTCTCATATGAATCCATCCCCTTCCTCCAACTATGCCCTGCAAAATCGCTGAGGAGAAAGAGAGGGGAATCCTTAGCCTGACAGCTATGTCTGGGGCCTCTCTTGGCTGACATCAGTGTCTGTATTAAAAATTTTCAAGAATGAATTTCTGCCCTTATTATGTGTGACTCAATGTGTTGCTTGCTATTCTAATTTAGTCCATTCTTCATATTTCTATATTAATGTAATAATAATGTAAAGGTCAGTCCTCATCCACCAAAGAGGTTTTAGGTGGTTATTAGCATAACTGGACGCTCACTTCCTGAACCAACGGAAAGTTTTTGTTGTCCTAATATTACCCATGGTACTGGCCCATGGGGTCTGAGTTCCTGCCTCTGATTCCTGCAGTGAAGCAGTGAAAAAATGGGTTGTCCCAAGGTCCAATAGAAGAAACAACGGCCAATCTTTAAAACTCTTCTTCATGCAGATTCTGTCATCTGCCTCTATCGCAGGCTACAGACCTGTCTCCATTTCGGAACACACATCCACCTGCCCACACACAAGTTCTAGTTCAATATAAACTTACTGTCTCTTGGGGGTCACATCTTCCTTCCTTTTTTTTGTTGCTAATACTATTTTTATCTTTATTTTTTTTGTTTTGATTGTTCCATGGTTGATTCTGGTTGTGGGAAGCAGCCCAAGTTTCGTTGTCATCTTCCCAGATTTGAGTAAGGCAAAAAATATGTAAAGGTTTAAAGAGAATTGATATCTTTGCAATATTCTCTGTGTTAGTAAATATACATAATGACCTGCTCCACTGGAGACTTCTTTTTCATAAATGTTTCATTACATTTTAATATTTGTCTCCACTAAGAACTTGTACATTTACATTTTGTTTTCTTTTAGGTATATTTTGGCTATCATTGCTGTTCTGAAAGTTATATTTTCCATTACATTTTCTAATCAGTTTTGGATTTTATGTGACTAGACTCCTGACATTCCCAAAGTGATCTTTATGCATTAGTTTCCTTAATTTCCTCATACATGTAAATATTTTCTACACCAATTATTTTGTTTTGTTTTGTTTTTAAATTAAGAGATCATATTGTTACCACTATTATTTCATTATTCTTACCTCTAATTTACTTTGTTACTTTTATTGTAGTTACGGACTAGCTGTGTATTTTCATCCAGTTGTCAACAATATAGAGTTGATGTTATAAAGCTGTGTTTTCTTCTGGGCTCTATTAAAGATATTTGTAATGTTTCACATTTACTATGTTCATTACAGATTTTACAAAATGGAAATTCTCACCTAATCTAAGTTTACTAAAAGATATTATCATGGACTTATGCCGAAGGATTTTTTTGAGGCTTTTTCACATGTTCACGTTTTTTCACCTTTTTTGACAAACTAGTGATTTCCACCTGATGCTATTTTCTATGTGATATCATCTTTACATTCCTTGGACACAGCCTACTTCTTCACTAATTCACTGCTTTATTAGACAGCCTGTGAATTTATTTAGGATATTTTTGTCTCTATGTGAGTGAGCTTGTCTCAAATGGTACTTTATTGGGGCATTCTCATCTGGTCTATGTATCAAGGAAATTCTCCTGTTAAAGTGGTTGAATAATTACCAATTTTTATATATGGTTTGGAAGAGTTTACATGAGATGGGGCTTAGTTTTTTCTTCATCATTTGGAGTAATAGGCCTCCAAGTCTGGCTGGTCTTGGAACATTTTGATGGTGCCTCGGGCTATTTTGGTTTGTATTGTGCATTTGAAGATTTTTATTTCTTTATGAACCTTTTTAGTTATTTATTTTTTGCTAAAATTTGCTCCATTTTACTTAGGTTTTCACATTTAAAGGTGTGATATTTATAATAAAATCTTTTTATCACAGAAATTCTCAAATATATACAATAATACAGAAAACAGAATAATGAACCCAATTACCTAACATTTACCATTAACAATTCTCCAATTTTATAAGTAGAATCTTTATTAGATTAAGGTTTGTTTATTTTTGTTTATTGGTGGGTATGCCAGAGGTGACACGGCGCTTTTCACTTGAAAATAAATAGTGTCCGCGGTCTCCTTTGTGGTGATGTTCAAAGCCATCACTTTTATTCATCAATCCATTAGTGGCTGCAGGATTATAATTTCCTGATTCTAAAATTCCTTTGAGTTTATATAACCTGAAATTCTTTAGATAGAATCTTTTCCTTGTTCACCATTTGTTATCTTGAGATATTAATAATACTTATTGATAGTGTTCCCTCATTAGTGTTAAATCTCTTTTGCACCTAAGTTTTGTACAATTTTATTTGTAAATATCATTTATCTCTGCTTCTTTCACTTGTAATCAATAATACTTATGTAAATTGCTATATAAATCCTTTCAAAGAACTGAATTTTATTAGTTGCCTCTACCATTTTCTAATTCATTGCTTTTCATTTATCTGCATTATTTTCTACCTTCTACTGCTTTGTATTTAATATGCTATTCATTCTACAGCTTCTTGAATTGTTTGGATATTTTAAACATTTTTATCTAATCAATCTATTTAATGCAATAAACATCTCTTTGAGTACTGCTTGGGGTGTTTCCAACAATTGTGCTAAGAGAGCTTTATGTGTAGTGCTCTCTTATTTTTTTATAAGTTGAATATATCTGTTTGAATGCTCCATAATATTTTGAATATATAAATATATGTTTATATTGTGTGGTTCTGTGTTTATGCATACAAACACTAAGGGGTGCAAAAAATATTAAGGGGAGAAATAAGAGATTTATTTAAAGCAGGTTTTCAGATCCATGGGGTATTTTGCTGTGTTGTATTTTACTTATATATATATATTTTTTATTTTGAAATATTATAGGGGTCAAAACACTGAGGTTATATATATTCCCTTGGACCACCTGGGTCAGAGCTACAAGCATGCTCAACCCCAGACAGTGCAGATGGCACCCATTAAGTGTGAATTTACCCATCCCCTTCTCCCTCCTCTGATCGGCCTGACACCCAATGAATGTTATTCTTATATGCGCACTTAGGTGTTGATCAGTTAAAACCAATTTGATGGTGAGTACAAGTGGTGCTTATTTTTCCATTCCTGGGATACTGGACTTAGTAGAATGGGCTCTAGCTCTATCCAGGATAATACAAGAGGTGCTAGATCACCATTGTTTCTTGTAGCTGAATAATATTCCATGATATGTGTGTGTGTGTGTGTATATATATATATATATATATATATATATCACATTTTATTAATCCACTCATGTATTGATGGGTACTTGGGTTGATTCCACATCTTTGCAATTATCAGTTGTGCTGCTATAAACATTCAAGCGCAGATGCCTTTTTTATAGAATGTCTTTTGTTCTTTTGGGTAGATGCCAAGTAAAGGGATTGCTGGATCAAATGGTAGATCTACCTGTATCTCTATATTTCTTTCCACAGAGGTTGAATTAGTTTGCAGTCCCACTAGCAATGTAGGAGTGTTCCTATCTCTCCACATCCACGCCAATATTTATTGTTTTGGGACTTGTTAATAAAGGCCATTCTCATTGGAATTAAGTGATATCTCTTTGTGGTTTTGATTTGCATTTCCCTGATGATTAGAGATGTTGAGCATTTTTTCATACATGTTTTGGCCATTAGTCTATCTTCTTTTGAAAAGTTTCTGGTTATGTCCTTTGCTTCTTTTTTTTCCCTCTTTTTATTTCATCATATTATGGGGGTACAAATATTGTTAAGGTTACATATATTGCCCCTGCCATCTCTCCCCACCCACCCCACCGTGTCAGAGCTTCAAGCGTGCCCATCCTCCAGGTGGTGCGCATCGCATTCATTTTGCCCACTTTTTAATGGGGTTGTTGGATTTTTTTCTT